AGTTGCCCAGGCTGGTCTCGAACCCCTGAGCTCAGGCAATCCTCTTGCCTCCACCTCCCAGAGTGCTGGAATTACAGGCGTGAGCCACCGCGCCTGGCCCCCATTCATTCCCTTAACCACCAATGACTGGGCACCCACTATGTGCCAGGCTCCATGGTGGACACTGAAGGGTCTCAGGTGGCAACCATGCAGGTTGGCAGAGATGTGGCCTCCATCCAGCTGACCTGTTCACCGAGGCCTCCACTGCTGCCCACCTCTCCTGGTCTCCTCCTCAACTTCAGCCAGCCAGGCCTTGCCAGACAGAACTCATAGGTGTATCAAAAAATAATCTTTATTGTCACTAGTATAAAACAGAGCAGATCAACTGGCCTCTCAGTCTGTACGAAGTGTGGGGCATAAGACCATCTAGGCTGCCCCCGCTTCTCCCATAATGCCCTGCCCCAGAGCAGCGCCCCAGGAACTCCGAGAAGGGGGACACCAGAGGTCTTCCCTTGAGGAGAGGGGTCGAGAGAGGGCTGGATGGGGAGCCATTTTCTACCTGAGGGAGGCTAAAGGAGCAGCGGAAAAGGCTGGAGTCGGAGAGCCCTCCAGTGAGTCACCACCTTCTGCACCAGAGGCCCCTGGATGGGCCTGGGGGCCGGGGGCCGCTGGAGGTCGGGCTGAGGCTCGGGGCGGCAAGAGGGGCGGGTCAGAGGGCCACCCGTGTGCAGCAGTGGCGCAGAAGGCACGGCAGGATGCCGCAGTTCAGCTGGTGGAACTCCACAAGCTGCAGCAGGTCCGTGAAGCGGGTCTGGCCATCATCCATGCTGAAGTACAGGCGGCCCTCCTCCTCGCTCTGGGGTAGGGCAGAGGGGGTGCAAGGTTGGGGGAACACAAGACTCGAGGGGCTCCCTCCTGGGCCAGGGCCGAGGTCCCCGTCGCTTGTGCAGGGAATAAGGAGACACGCGGGGGGCCACAAAGCTTCCCGAGGGGCCTGGTGAGGAGGGCAGGCCACTGGGAGTCCTGTGTCTCGGGGCCTCTTGGGGAAGGAGGGGATGACTCACCGGTAGGATGAGATAATGCTTGACTTTCTGCAGGTGGCACAGCGAGAGGACAAAGCCTTGTGGGTTCCGCTGACTTTCCCGGACCAAGAAAATGCTGCAGAGGGCCAGAGGACAGGGCAACTTTACCCAAGGACACATGGCGGGCCCTGGACCACGTCTCTCGTATCCCTGGGTCTGCTGCCCTGCCCAGCCCTGCCGCTTACCCGTCTACCAGGCCCTGCTGTCCAATGAGCCGCTGGCTCTCCTCACGGGAAATGCGCCCGTGGAACCAGGGTTGGGTGCGGTGGATGGCTGGGGCGGGGAGGGCAGAGGGGCGGTCACTCGGGGAGGGCGTCCCCACCCTGCTCGCTTCCCCGCCGGGAATGCTCAGAGAACACACGACAGCCCCTCCGCCTGCCCGGGGCCTCCAGGCTGCCACCCACCTGCACTGAGGCTTGTACCAGAGGACGGGGTAGGCAGGCTGAAGCGGTGGTTTGTCTTCTTCTGCGGAGTAGTGAGGAACACGAGAGAGTTGGGGTGTGCTGGGGGTGTCACCCAGCACTCAAGAAAGTAGAACACCTTCCCACAGCTGGGGGGCCTCCCCTCGTCCCTCTCGTTTCACAGAACCCCATGTGGAGAAGACATCCCCAGACAACATACAGATGGTACAAGCCCCTCACCCTCCAGGCCTGAGCCTCCTCCAGGGCTGCACTCAAAGCTTCCCGAGGGTTCTCAATGACACGTCCAGCATGGCCAGAGAAGTCCATGGCCACCAGGGTATTATCCGAGACACTCCGCTGAAGGGGGGATAGCATGGGAATGCGGGAGGTCAGAGCAGGACCCAGGCATCCCTGGGCCAGGACCTGGGGGTCCGCCCCCACCCAATGTCCCTGTGCACACTCACCAAGGGCGGGGACCCCAAACAGGACGGGCGCAAGTGGCGAGACAGTGCCTGCTGATAATTCTTATACAGCTGCACCCCATACTGGGGGTGGAGAGAGAGCGGGCCTGAGGTCAGGAGGGCCTAGGGGAGAGGCTGCGGCTCCCCCTCAGACCCAGACCCCACAGGCAGGACTGCGTGTCTGCCCTCGGATGGCAGCTTCAGCCAACTCCAGTCTTGGAGGGGGGTTCCCAGAAAGCAAGGGTCTCTCGTTCCTCATTCCTCCTCGTTTGGGAGGCTTCCTAAAGGCTGAATGATGACTCCTCCCTCATGCCAGGGATCCCTCAGGCAAGGCCAGCCCCCACGCCACCCCCAGAGCCCCACCTTAAAGAGGCGGAAGGCGGCCAGCCAGCAGGTACGGCTCTGCTCATCCTCACTGCAGAAGATCCGGAGCCCCTTGTGGCCATTTCGAAGCTTGTTGGGCTGGGGGAAGAGGAAACAGGCTGGTCCTCTACCTGTCTCTAGGACCCCGATGTCTGTCCCCGGTCTCCATGGGGGAGGACCTGGGGAGTCTCCAGCAGAGCAGGGTGCAGGGAAGAGTCTAGTGTCCAAGATGGAGCTCAGAAACCCCAGGGAGTATCCTGGAATCAAGCTGGGCCAGGGTTTTCACCTTGACACAGAAGCCGAAGTCCGTGGGCATCGCGTAGAGCTTGCGGCCCTGGGTCACCACGTACACGTTGGACTCGTTCACGTCTGCCACGTACTGCAGGTGCCTCGGATCCTGTGCAGCACAGGTGAGCAGGACTTGGCACAGGAGGACTAGGCCCCCATCACTACCCACCTAAGGTAGGTGGGAAGGTTTTAGGACCAGAGAAGGGCAGGGAAGTACCCAAGGTCACACAGCAAATAGAAGTAGAGACAGGACTGGGATTGAGGTCCCCTGCCTTTTCTTTTTGTTGTTGTTGTTTGAGACAGAGTCTCACTCTGTTGCCCAGGGTGGAGTGCAGTGGGGCACCATCCCTGCAAACCACAGCCTCGATTTCCAAGGTAATCCTTCCACCTCAGTCTCCTGAAGAGCTGGGACTACAGGTGCACACCACCATGCCTGGCTGATTTTTGTATATTTTTTTTTTTACAGATGAAGTCTCACGATGTTATCTAGGCTGGTCTCGATTCTCCAGGTTCAGCCTCCCAAAGTGCTGGGAATACAGACGTGAGCCACCAGCCTGGCCACCTGCCTTTTCTACTGCCACCTCCTGGGGTGGGTGAACTGGGTAAGGGCAGGGGGAGGGGCAGGAAGCAGGAGGCAGCCAGCCCGGCGTGGGAAGGAAGCGGCCGAGGCTCTCAGGGAGGCCCAGGGATGCGGTCCTTGAGGGGCTGGGCTGGCACAGCCCTCACCTTGGAAGTGCCCTTGGTGGAGTAATAGAGGCCAGAGCGGCGCAGGAAGCAGAAGAAGCGTTTCCACAGCTTGCGTCCTGATCCCCGCAGCTGCAGGAAGCCTTGGATCTCGGGGAAGCTGCCTGCGTTCAGGAAGTTCTGAGGCCAGAGGAGAGCGGAGGTGAGTGAGAGGCCTGGCCACCCTCACCCTTGGGTTTGAGCAAAGAGGTGTTCCCCATGCATTTCTTGTCCCCACAAAGGACAAGGAAACTGGTGTTCAGGCAGGGAGAGTGACTTGTCCACAGGACTGTGGCTGGCCTCTTTCTGCCCCATAGAGGGAGACACCAGGCTTAAGGACGGAGAAGCACTGGGCGATTCTGGGGAATCACGAATATGCGGGAAAAGGAGGGTGTTCCCTCACCTGGATGAGGTCATCATGCGATATGCCCGTGTGTGCATCGAGACAGCTGGAGACCATCTTTTCTGGGAACAGGGAGTGCTGGGGGCAGAGAGGGGTTGGGGTCAGGGTTCAAGAATCCAGACTGGGAAGCCAGGCTCGGTGGCTCAGCCTGTAATCCCATGCCTTGGGAGGCTGAGGTGAGTGG